ATTTATTTCCATTTACCTATTTTATGGTTAACTTTTATTGCCGACACAAGGGATGCATTCCAATTTAAGTGTCAAACTCTTATGATTGTTCATAATCAGCAAAACAAACGAATCGTGTTCTTATTGAGGGACGAAGGCCGTTTTTTAAGTTTAGAAATATGATTTTCAATTGCTCCCATACATTTTGAAGAATTTTCTTCAACCTTCGGGGAGGCTTTTCAAGGAAAATTGCTGATATCTACCAATCATTTTACGCATAATCATTTGATTACAATGCTTTCTGAAGTGCCATTTGGAAACAATTTAATTCGCTTTTTGTTTCACTAATGCAGTTATTTGTATTTCGGTATATATGGTTAAAACATAAATTTTCATTTTCCATAATTTTCCATTTTCTCGATTAATTTTTAGGCTCGAAAGGGATGTTATTCTCGAATGGGATATTAGTCTCGTTACGCCATTTTGAGTTGAATCACTGTAAACGGCGTATGCGTTTCAAATTGTTGCCACCAAACATTATCACACTGTATTATATTTAAAGAAATTAAATAATAAAGAATCTGCATGAATGTATACATGTTTCTCGAACTGTGAAAAAACAACTGTACATAGAGCTACCAAATTTTGAATAACATAATCCTCCACCTGAACATGGCCACCTGGAAGCTCGAATTTTGAATATCGTATTTGTTTTATTATCTATTTCATATTTTGTAAAAAGTTTAATGAATTTTTAAATAACAAGCTCAACGATCACAAAGCAAGCAGTGGCAACACTGTACGGAAAAAACCATTTTTATCTCCAGCGCGCGAGACTGTCTGTCGGAAATTTTAAAGAAAAATGTTTTTAAATATTTTTGAGATTTTGCTGTTGAATCGAATTTTATGTGTAGGAGGCGCCAAGAAAGGGATGTTTGATAAATAAAGTAAACATCAAAAGGTTAATAATAAAAAGGCCAAAAACATTCGTAAAGCCAACTCAGTAAGAAAACTGAACATTGATATGATGAACTGATTAAATACTGGACCCACACCTTTGCACTTAAACCATAAAATTCAATTCAACAGAAATATCGCAAAAGGATTTTAAAAATGAGCATCTCTTTAGAATTTCCGATTCATATTCTCGCGCGCTGGAGATAATTTTTTGGGGGGGGGATACAGTGTTGCCACTGCTCGCATGGAAATCGTTGAGTTTGTTAATCAAAAATTCATTAAAGTGTTACAAAATATGAAATCGATAATAAACAAATTCCAAATCAGGCAAATCAGGGCCCATATTCGGTGGAGGATTACGTTATTCAAAATGTGATGTCTCTAGGTACTGTCATTTTATCACAATGTGAGAAACATACATAAATTTATGCAAATTCTTCATTATTTAATTTCTTTAAATATAATGCAGGGCTCTAACATTTGCTGGCAATAATTTGAAAAGTGATGCCGCGTTTATAGTGATTCAACGCAGAATGCCAAAACGAAATTAATAGCCCTTTGGGCTTAAAATAATATATAATAAAATTAAAACAGAAAAAAACGTATGCTTGCTATGCTGCCATTCTTTCGTCTACTGAAGGTTTCTGTACGGAAATTGTTGAAATATCACGTTTGTTTGTTTTCGTATTATGGTACGCATTACCGCAGGTAGCAACGGCACAAGGCTCCATTTTTTTGAATAATTTCCCGTTACAAACACTAATTCATTTTAAAAATATCCTCAGCTATAATTTTCAAGTCAAAGAAACCTCTTTCAAAGAAATAAGAAGTAAAGATTTAAGCTTTCGCACTGTGAAGCTCTGGTCAGTAGACGAGGTGACGAACCCAGTGACGTCACATTGCTCCCCAACTGGGTTCGTATCGGCATCGTTCCCCTTCAAACGGATGACCTAGCCCTTCTTTTTCTTTAGCCCTGGTGTACGTCTGTGTTTTCTTATTGTTTACTGATGTTTCACACTTTGCAAAGACAGCCGGATACAAAGAAGTAAAGAATTGTTCTTATCTTGAAATTCGATCACGTTCAAAATTAAGCGCGGACCAACACCTTCCTTAGACGCTTTTCTGTCGAGACAACGATTCGCAGACATGGACCTTATAAGAAATAGACTAACCCAAACGGGTTTTCTCCCTCTTCTGAGGCGTTGCCGGCTGTCACCTTGATCACATCCGCAGGAGTAGGGACGACATGCAGAAATTTAACATTGGTTGCCTATTCCAGCGTGTAAAATTGTCAAAAAAAAAAAAAAAAAAAAAAAAAAAGGCGGCTGTCTGTAGCGCCTCATTTCACAAATTAGAATTTCTACATATTTTTAATTTTGAAATTGAGATTGATTTTTAAAAATTTAGCATATTTATCAAGCATAATTAGTATTCCAAATAATTATAAAGCTATTGCATGCTTACAGGATTGGATATTTTTTCAGCTTTTCCTATGCTGTAAGGAAATTTATAACTACTTCTTTTAGAAAATAATATTTTAAATCTGAACTAATAAAAAATTTCAAACAAGCAATTTTCTCTTGCAATTTTTATGCTTTTTATTGGTGTAAATATGTAAAAAACACTAAAATATTTAAAAACGAATTTTTGAAAGTTCTGTTTAAAATTCTAAATTGCGCTGCTTTTTTAAAATTATAGATGAGTATTATAGCACAATTTCTATAATGGAATTTTTATTTCAATTATATTTCATAATACATCATAGTGATAAACATTTTTGACTCCTTAAAAATTTTTATACATTTAATTCTAATATTAAAATTGTATTTAAACCGTAATAATTAATTTTGCTTGTATTTTATAGTAATTATTTTTAAATTTATTTTTTTAGTTCTGCATAAGATTTTTTTTTATTTACTGTTAATTTAGTTTATTAGCCCAAAGGGGCGGTAGCCTAGAAAGGTTGCTAGTTTCGAAGCGGCATTTTGCGCTGTTTTACTATACATGTCCGTGTCTCCATGCAAATTGTTGTTATCAAATATTATCGCCCTCTATTATATGTAAAAAAATTAAATAATGAAGAATCTGCATGAATACATGTATGTTTCTCGCACTGTGACAAAAACGACAGTATCTAGAGCCATCAAATTTTGAATAATGTAATCCTCCACCCGAACATAGACATCTGGACGGCCGAATTTCGAATTTTTTTTAGTCTGTTTCATATTTTGTAAAACTTTAACGAACTTTTGATTAACAAACGCAACGAGTTCAGAGCGGCACTGTACGGAAAATAACAGTTTACCTCCAATGCGTCAATTCTAAAGATATGCTGTTTTCAAATGTATGTGATTTACGGGCGAAGAACATGATATACAATAAATATAGGTAACACACAAAATTTTAAAAAAAGAGTGCTTCTAGATTTTATTTTACTTTTCTTCCCCTTCATTACGCTCAGAAAATTTTATGCTCCGAATTTTATGAATTATTAAAATAACTAATCCATTTTAATTTCAATAATTTAATGGTCATATAATCAAATAAATATGATCGTTTTGTAATGTTATTATAGGTTGGCGATTTTGCAGCTGAGGATGGTGATTCGGTAAAACCATCGAAACTAGTCCTGTAAAAATTTTGAAAATATTACGCTGATTTTTGTTGTTTGACTTCTGAATTAGTATTTATTCGGCGTGTTATTGTGTCTTAATTTTAAAAAAATTATCAGATCTTTTTTAATTTTACCTTATTTATTTCAAAGCCTCTACTATCAATCTTATTTAATTTTAATTTTATTTTTACGCAAAATTAAGTTCATAAATTTTGTGCTTAGAGTTTTCACCGTTTTACCAAAGTAAAGACGTTTGTACAAGAATTACGCGTGAAAAAAATGTGCGAAATGTAGCAAAAAAGTGCTTTAATGGGATATATTAAATCCTATTTGGAGAAAACTGTCCCTTTTATAATCTCATTCCTATATAACATATCACATTTAATAATTAAAAAGAGTTATGTGATACAAACGCCGTAGGTTTCAGTGTTAAAGTAAACCAGGTCGTCCCTACTCTTTCTCGCCCACATGTCGGTGACGCGCGCCCCGCCTACTGGGTTAGTCTATCTCTTATAAGGTCCATGTTCGCAGATTCGTGGTGTTGCATGATGTCGATATAACAGTATCAGAACAATCAAAGTTTACAATTGGGTGCCCCTTGCTTTTTAACAATTCTTTTTTGACGCCAAGATCGACGCCAGGAAGGCTCAATTTCAAGATGGCCGCTACACAAAACTAAAATAAGAAGTCAAAGAATTGCACAAACTCTGTGTCCATGTACACATCGATCTGTTTTTCACTTAAAAAAACATCCTAGAATTGCACAAACTAGGCATTGCGCAATGCCTTAAATTTGTCCATGTACACATCAATCTATTTTCATTTAAATAAAATCAAGAAGCTAAAACAAAGTTAAAACTATCATGGTAACTAGAAATGGGGTTTCATCGCCAAAATTAAAAAAAAAATTGTCGCTAATCGAAGGGTCACCCATTTCTACACTAGAGCACAAAGAAATCCCAGTTAGAGTAGTTGGTGCGATTTTGAAAATTGTCGCCAATACCAAAATGTCTCATTTACTGCTCATCATAAACACAGCCTTTACTGATCATCATAATGTCGCCCAAATTCCGTTTGTACTGTATACTACGATTAAACCGAGTAGTTTATAAATCCATGAGTTGAAACAGGAGCAATTTATTCATACTGATACAAATTAAAATTACAATATTTAGAATTGTAAACGAATCTTTTCAAAGGCGTGACTATCAATGGGGCGTGGCCAAGAGAATTATGCCTTTAAATTAACTTTTCAAAGGGCAATTTTCAAACTTTTATTTTCATAACTTAGAATTATGTAAAGGGGAATGTATTTTAGCATTCTTTTAGCATCATATTCTGTAATATAATAAGTCTTAAAACAAAAATTAAGTGATAGCATAAAACGCTTACCTACCAGTTTGATTTTGAGAATATTTATTTGAGATTTTTGCTTAGAGAATTAGTAGGTACCGTTCTTGTCTTGGGCAGTATCTGCTCAGTGAACGCAATGTGAGAGCAGTGTGCTGACAACCATGTGACACATAGTCTACCGCACCGCGCACCTTTGTAAGGTGTGTATGGGTGCAATTTTTGGAACCCGTGTAGGGTTGAATGAATTTTAATTACATTTACCGGACTAATTAAATGCCACCCTTTACATAGTGACGCACTTTTTACTTCCTTGTACGAAATAAAAAGGAAGTATTGTTATCGCGAAAGGTTTCAGGCAGCATATTTCAACGAAAATACCCATTTTGACCGCTATCGAATGCAATTTAACGATGTTGTTATGCTTGATATCTGTACGTAAGGACAGAATAAAATATCTTTCCTTCAAAAATTATAAAACTGCTTTAAAATGAATTCTGAAGCGAATTTTTCTGCCGTCTGTACGAACGTATGTACGTGCGTGCGTACGTACGTATCTCGCATAACCAGAAACGAGTAGCCTCAGAACTTTGAATTTGTATATAGGACTGCTATAACATGTAGATGTGCACCTCGTATTTTGTTGCAATCGGCAGCACCAAACGTATAGAAGTATATTTATATATATATATCCACTCTGTTACCCGGCTCAGTGATCTCAGTTTCTTTACTCTTATAAGTTTGTAATTGTACATTTTTCTTAAAATGATTGAATTATGTTGTTTTTATCTTCCTGTTAGGATTTTATGCCTTTAGTCAAAGAATCTGTAAGGATTCTTTGCCTTTAGTAAATCTGTGTGCAATATTTTTAGAATTATCAGCAATTTTAAAGTTGTTTAATTGCCGCTAAGCCTTTGACTTATGACTTACTTTTTTCTGGTCATTAACTACTAAAGAGTTTTTGCCAGTAGATCGCATTAAAGTGCACTAGGCAAAGATATTTTCAAATAAATGGTACTAGGGAAGTACCAACACCCGTGGGCGAAGAAAATTCAGCTGCGTGAGCAGGCATATCTTAATACTTACGAAAGTAGGCGTTCATCATAAAAATTGTGCAGTGGTAAGCAATGGCATTAAATTGAAGCATGTAGGCAGGTTCAATGAGTTGTATGGCAAATGCAGGTGGTGAGCTCGATATAGCTAGTAAGAGTGCAGGATAAGCAATAGTGAGACATCATGAAAATGGCGCGAAGACAGTTTGAAGCTGTGAATGGCATAAGAGTTCAAAGTCCTTCAGAAGTATGCAGTAGTTAGATAGGCCGTAAAAAGTTCAAAAGTTCGTAGAATCATACGATAAAGTAAAAATTCATACAAAACAATTTTAAAAAATGAAATAGTAACATAAAAATCTTGAATAAAAAATTTTCTTGATTAACATAAGTATAAGATGCAACACAAATAATAGGATAGAGTTCAAGTAAATTTTACAAGTTACCACCATAACGAATTGTGATGAATTGTCCTTGGGCGTTTGACAGTATATTCAATGGTTGGATCATAATCCAACATTTGTTTAATTGCGTTATACTGACTATGCTTCATCTTCTCGAAGAAGTTGTGAGCTGTCATGAGTATAAAGTTATGCACAGATGGAATATCCAGGTCGTTATGAATTATAGAGTTTCTCACGTACCAAGGTGCATTCACAATGCTACGTAGAATTTTATTTTGAAGTATATCCAATTTTTTGCGCTCAGTTTTATTGGCGATTGCCCATGCCGGCACTGCATATAGCATGATCGGTCGAATCGAATTAGAGATATGTAAAGCATTTTCTTATTTTTAGACTGAGCTTCGATTTTTTGCCGATAATAGGATAAATTGCCATGTAGGCTGCATTTGCTTTGTTTAAGATATAAGAAATATGATCTTTGAAGTTGAGAGATTTATCTATGTAAACACCTAAATATTTATAGGAATTAGCTACAGGGATTAGAGTTCTATCTAAGTAGATATCAGTATTAACTCTTAATCTTGTTTGTATCTCCGATAGAGCACAATACAACATTTAGAGGCGTTGAGCTTAATTTTCCAAGTCTTGCACCAGTGATTGATCATATTGAGATGCATTTGTAAATTACTTAGAGCGAGCTGGGGACTTCTGGATTCAGTCAGTACTACAGTGTCGTCAGCATATTTGAGTATTTTCGTGTTGAATGGGTGCGGGAAATCATTGATATAAACATTATAGAGCCGGGGGGAAAGAACGGACGGGACCCCGCTATGAATTGTTTTTCTGACAGATAAGGCGTCACCGCAGCGAACTTGAAAAGTCCTGTTTTTCAGATAGGAACTAATGAGTTTTACGAAACTGTTTGGAAGCATAAAATTATTCAATTTATGCAGGAGGCCTGCATGCCACACTCTATCAAAGGCCTTTTCGAAGTCGAGATAGCATGCAGCCACCCCGTTTTTTCTTAGTAAAGGCTTGCGAAACAAATTCCACCAAATTGAGAATTTGATGAGTCGTGCAGTGTCCACTGCGGAAGCCGAATTGCAGATCATCTATTAAATTGAGTCTTTCGAGATGGTTAGTGAGCCTTGAGCAGAGGATTTTCTCAAATACTTTTCCTAGTGAAGGTAAAAGACTGATAGGTCTGTAGGAAGTGACGAGTTTAGGATCTTTCTTTGGTTTATTATGGACTGTTTCCATTGCTGAGGGAAATAATTATTTCGGATGCAGGCATTAAAAATATTTACTATGTTAGTAATACAATGTCTAGGAAGAGCTTTAAGTGCTTCATTGCTAATCTGATCATAGCCTTTGGCTTTCCTTGGCTTGAGTTTGTGAATAATTTCTCTTACTTCTCTTGGTGAAGTAAAGGGAATGAAATTTGTTATAGAATAATTGTTAATACTGTCAATGGTAAAATTAACTTCTTCTTCTTGGGAGTTATTCTCAGGCGGGTGAGGTTGAAAGATTTTCTCTAATTCATTAGCCATTATATTAGCAATCTCGTCCTCAGATTGATAGGAGATTCCCATGTGATGAATTGCATGAGTTTGATTTGGTCTGCTATTTCTTAGAGATTTAGCAATTTTCCATACTGCTTGATCTTGAGGATCCAGGTTTGATAGGAGAAAGTTCCATTTTTTGTTTCTGAATTCCATAATTTCTTGCTTGATTTTCCTGTTTAAAAAGTTGATGTGCCTTTTGGCACGAGGGTCTGCGGACCGCTGCCATTCCTTATGTTTTCTATTCTTCTCTGTAATACAGTCAAAAGTCGTTAATCCGGACTCGTCGGTACTTCGGCGATTCCGGATTATCGATTTTTCCGGATTATAGATCATCAGTTTAAATCTGGTAAAATGGCATGCAGAAATTACAAAAGTAAAAACCGTAATTTACAAAAAAACAATTATGATCTAAAGGGTATCAAAATTGACAAAAAAAAGCTTAATATTTATTGGGTTACTTTATTAAACATTTCTTTCAATGTAAGTTGTTTCAGTTGCTTCGTTTTTTATGTGATAATACATTCTCTTTAATTCTATAAACAGACATAATTTCTTGTTCAGTTACAAAGTTCTGCTGTTCAAGTCCTATAATTGCTGTATCGAGAATACCGACTAATTTCTCAATCGAAATTTTTTTGTTTTCAATAACCTATGTCACTTTCTTCGCTATCGGAAGCGAATTATAATGACGAGGCATTTGATTTAAATCATATCAAAGACAGAGTACATTGAGATGAAATACTACATTGAGTAAGCAATTATAAGCCAAATAAAATAAAAACATCTGCCCTTAAGATAAGGATAGTGCTGATAAATCAACTTCCAATTCATTGCACGCCGCCGCGGCGTTAAAGATAAACAAAGTTTAGATAAAACAACGTTTTAAGTTTAGATAAACAAGAATATGCCTTTTTCCATTTTTTGCAGCAATTCCATTTTTTGTTTAATGGACTTCCGAAAGATACTTTTCGCTTTGTATATCCTTTACATATTAGTAAATATATATCGGAAATTCTATTTGACATAATCGAAAGTTCAAGCTTACTTTTAGAAAATTGCTCTAACAGTCTGCAAAAAATAATAATCCGGATCCAATTCGAAGATTAAGGAACAACGCAATCTGCAACATTAACTGAAATAGATAATTAGATAATTTTAGCTTAGCTTATCCCGTTCGTTATAAATTAAACGCGCATTCGTAAACGTATTTTGCGCACGCGCACACGCAAATTCGCAGCGGTAAAGGTCTTACGCGCATGTGTCAACGCGACGCATGCGCAGAAAGTTTGTAGCTTTGAGGTCCGGATTATAGATCATTCCGGATTATGGGTGTCCAAATTAACGACTTTTGACTGTAATATCTTTTATATATTTAGGAAGGGAGAGAAAATTAGTGCTTTTGCAGGGATAAGTCGCATTATTGATTGCATCTTTCATTTTAGTGGTGAATTTATAAATTTTATCTTCGATATCACCGCAATGATTATAATTATTTCTGCAATTATAGTCTTTCATAGTATCAGAGAATTGGGTCCAATTTATCTTAGTTCTGTGTTTCTTTAACGGGGGATAAAAGCCATAAAAGTCGAAGTTCACTGGAAGATGATCAGAATTTAAGTCCGTTATTACTTCTAAGAGAGGGGTATGAGGAATATTTTTAAGAAGTACAATGTCCAAAACTTCACCGTTTCCGTTAGCACCAAATCTTGTTGGAGAAGTGGGAGCAGCAAAATTGAGGTCGTTGCTAATTAAATAGTTATGTAAAATGTTTGCCGCTAAGCCTGTTTTTAATGGCGGCCATTGATGTTTACATTTGAAACAGGAGGCTAGTGGATTTGTTGCCAATCTAGAGAAACTTAGCTTCACAACAACAAAGATAACGCATTCATTTATTATAGCCAATTAAATCATGCTTAATTCTTTCCGGAATTTTTTTGAGGAAATAAGCGTTTGAGATTTACTTCGTAATTTTTAATATAGATATTTTGAGTTTTTATGTATTTTTGCCTTCTCGCGAAGTGAGAACGGAATGAATTAAAGTAAATGAAATACTCAATCGTCTGTGAAAAACTGTTTCTTTTTTGTTTTGTTTTCTTAATTTCTTTTATACATAGTTTCTAGCTTTTCTTATATTGAATTTTTGAACATGTGCAACGATTAGATAATTCTTTAAATGATATACATTTTGTTGCATTCTGAGTTATAATATGAA